CTGAAAACAACCATTAAAAGCCCGACCAAATGTTTAACCATGGTTTTAAAACCCGGCTCGGCCCGGTCGGTTGAACCGGACCCGAGCTTAAAAACGGGCCGATTTCATGCATTGGCCCGTTTTGCAAGTTGGCCCGTGTTAGCCCGCCAGACTCGCCAGACCCGCTCCAAACTCCCAGCCCGTCCCATCCGCCGGGCCATCCCTCTTGCTCATCCCTGCTCCATCTCCGTGAGTTCATCGGCATCTCACCACTGCTCACATCTCAGGCACTGGCGGGATGGAAATCTATTTGGTGACCCAAATCATGCGGAGCTAGCCTTACAGAGTAGGATTTGGTTGCTGCTGCTCACTGCTCAAGCAAAGAAGGATAAAATTTGTTGCCAGAAAAAGGAGTAGATAAGGATTAGGAAGCGAGCTTGAATGGAGAAAAATGGTAGAAAAAGAAAGAAGATGATAAGGCGAAGAAGGTGAAACAATGGAGGGGTACTCTTTTTAGTGGATAGTATGTTGACGCGTGATTGGTGTTGTTTTTTCTTTTTTGGGCAGTGCCAAGCTATTTTTTGGGCAATGTTAGCTGGTAGGGGCACTCGCCTCCTGCACTCTCCACCCAACACATGCTTTTTTATTGGGCCACCTAAGCTTACTTCCATGAAATGATGACCTCTCTGGAAACCCAATGAAAATGGAAGTGTTGGCTGGAGACTGCACGTGGTTAGTGTTCCTACTTCTTAGCATTGCTCTTGTTTTTTTATTGGTATGTTTGGAAACATGAATTTGATAAGGTGTATTTGAATTTGGACACCTCAAATTCAATGTCAATGTTTGTTTTCACATAAATAGAATGTAATTGAATTTGGATAGAAATTCATATATTTCAGCTGGGTATTTGAAAAGAGAAAAAACCATGTATTTCAAGTTCAAACTGTGCATTCTCCCCGCACATGGACGGCGATGAAGCCTCCATCTCGACTTTCGTTCATCGTCGACTCTGCCGGAAATTAAACGGATCTCTGTAGCTTATCAGGCCCCAAGATCGAAATTGGAACGCTAAAGCTTAGATCTGATAAACGCAATCGCTGCAAATCTAACTTTCCGGGATTGCTTTGGTAGAGATAGCAATCAGGTAGACAGTCGTAAAGATCGACGCCGGCCAGGAAAGCAGAAGGCTTTCGAGAGGGAGAGCGAACCAGAAGTGTAGATGCCGAGTGAAATCGGAATTCTAGATAAAGAACATGATCGTAGATGGACTTTTTTGAAAAAATAAGTTGGAGGCCTCTTTTCTCTTGTCGTACACAGCAACAATAGAAAGAAATCCTTACACCTCACTACTTAGAAAGGCTAAAACTCTAATTTTGAAATAAAATTTAAATTTTTGGTACCGCAAATACCCCTCTTTTGTTTGCATTGGTGGAATATTATATAATAAATCTTTCTTTGTAGGTACTATTTTGGTGTTTTATTTTTTATAGTGAAATTTTTTTTATGATAAATTTAT